CAGTTGAGGTGGCTCGGACATCTTCTTCGGATGCCCCCATGGACACCTCCCTCGGGAGGTGTTCCAGGCACGTCCCACTGGGGTGAGGCCCAGGGAACGACCCAGGACACGCTGGAGAGACTATGTCTCTCGGCTGGCCTGGGAGCGCCTAGGGCTTCCCCCAACAGACCTGGAGGAGGTGTCTGCGGAGAGGGAAGTCTGGGAGTCTCTGCTTAGTGACCGTGACCCGGTTCCGGATAAAGCGGGGGACGACGAGACGAGACAACCTAAAATCCCTCTGATATATTTGCTTTTCCATGCTTTATCCCTTCTTTATTGAAGCATTTTTCTGCTATAGCTGCTGTAGCTTTCTGTTGTTATAGAGAAAACAGTATTTTACTTGTGTTTGCTTTACTAAATGGTTTGAAATCAGAGGTTATAGTGGAGAAAGTTCTACTATCATCCAAATGTATTAAGTAATCTGTTTTTGAAGCCTTAAGACAGAGGAGGATTTTCCCATATAAACGGTTGAAGGATACGTCCATCAGGTTCATGATGCTGTGGCAGGTGCTGAGGCTCAACCCTTCAAACTGGATTTCTTTTCCTGGGGACAGAAAAATGACCAAACTTCAGCAAATCCTAGACGGGCTGATGGATTCTAGCACCATCCCAGCTGCAGGATCAGTAGAGCTGCTCTTAAACTTTTAGGAGAAAACGTAAAACCAGTGAAAAACTAAAAGCTTCCTGATTTAGCATCTCTAAGCAGTTTTTTTGGCTTTGTTTTTTTATCGCTTCTTCAGGTCACACTTTTACAAATTATGGATAAATTTGTGTTTTAATGTTGCTGTTCATTCAGTAGATTGTATTTTCTTTACTATTCGGATCTTTTTTATCATTGGTTAGCAAATAAAAGTAACTAAGCCCTTATGAAGTGACCATCTGCTGAGTGCCAGTGTGATTCTTATTTAATGTGATATATATTACAGTCCCTCAGTCAGGAAGCCTCAGCTGATGGTCCTGAACTTATTAAGCCTTATTTAATAACTATCACTCATTATTTCATCATCTATTCCAGCTTGTGATTTATCTGTTTTCATCTGAATCGTATTTTCTCTCTCTCTAGCTTTGTTCGAGGTCTCAGAAATGAGGCTTAAATGCTTGATTTTGTCATTTTTCTTCTACTTACGTCGACTGAGAACACCATTCAGCATCTGCTGCAGCTCCATCACAGAGATAGCCTGGTCCTGTTGTTATGTAAAAGAAAGCGAAGCTGCTTAGAATCTGATCCCAGCTGGTGTTGCTCTACGCTGTGAAAGGGTTTTTCTTACCGAACCGGCCAGCTGCTCAAACAGCCTCCTCAGGCCTTTCTCCTCATCGCTCTCCTCCTCTGGAGGGCTGGGCATCGGGGGCTGCAGGAAGACATTCAGCCTCAGTACCAGCAGAGTAACTAAACATCTGTTATTGTCTGGTGTTTAATTACCTCTGGCAGGTCTGCGTCCATGT